GGTGTAAATAAGTATGGGAGATGGGAAGAAAAGGTGAGAAAAGGTGTAGTTATTAGTTTAGTCTAGGTGATTGACATCCAAGTGAACACTGATAGACAAAGTCTCCAGTCTTGTGCCATTATCTAGTTAGAGAAAGAGCCTGTACTTAGTAAGGGCAGTTAAAATAGGAAACAGAAAAATGGTGTGCATGAAATAATATGAAAGAGGGAAAAGATTCTGCCTTTGTACAAGAAAGAAATACCAATGGCTATGAGGGAGACCAACAAGGACAACTGGGAACAGAGGGAGACCACACTCTAGTTGAAAATAATGTCCTATCTACTAGCTTCATCTTCTTCAGTGCAGAGGGGAAGAGGTTTATGTCTCTTCTCCATTTAATTTGGTTCTTGTCTGAACAGTTTGCACTGAGTTAAACTTTTCCTAGAAGTCCACATATTTTTATTAAAAATATACAGAGAGACTTTCACCAAATCAAGCACACATATACCTATAAAGATTGCATTAACACTGTAAAAATAATATAATGAAAAAGAATATCATTTATTCTCTGCATCTTTTAAAATGGTGTTCTAAAATACCTAAATCAGGCAACAGAGTAGCTATTTCCTTTCAAAGTATAACAGCAGCAGGTCATTATAGAACATTTTAATGTGACAACTTTAATGAAGCCTCATTTCTCTGAACACATCAAAACCAAATGTGGATTCAAGACAAATAGTTTCCAGGTGTCCTTAAACACTGTTAAAATAACAGTGGAAACAACAGATAGAATTAAAAATGTGTAGAAAATAAGACAGCTCTATGTGGGTTAGCTGCTGTATTGAACAGCATAGTAAACATTAGAGGGAAAAACATTACAGAATTAGCAGGCTTTGGACCTAATTAAACACACAACAGAACAACAAAAACTATAGTCAAATGTTTTTGTCATATATATTATTAGCACTGACCAGTTGTTCTTTCTTTGCTTTAACTGGAAGAAAAGAGGCTATACCTTTGCAACAAGTGGAAAACAATTATGTCTTAAGCATGGACTAAAGATGAGCAGTATAAAATCTGGTTCCACTTGGCTTCCTAACAGTGCATTCCCCAGTGCCCTAGAAAACTGCACTGTTTTAGCAAATGGTATGACATGTATTACCTTCTGCACTGCTATTAAATAAATCTATTAGGATAAGGCATAAATACATTTTCTCCTTGCAGAGAACGCTTTTCTAGATGACTGTTGAATGGTCAAAACTGCTGAACCAGAGGCAGACTAAATATTTTAAAGGTTATATACTTTAGAAAGAAACATTGATGGCATATTTTGAGAGCTATTTTGAAACAACAATTAATTCTTTAATTCTACATTAAAGCATGTCAAACTAAGAAAGAAGAGATAGTATTACACTTGAGCAATATTTTATTTCTAAATCCCATATGACTGTAGTTAAATTTTAGTAATAAAGGCTGAATGAGGACAAAGGCTGCCCTCAATTGTTTTCTGCTCTTTGTTACAGATTGTATGCACTGTCAGACTTCTTAACAAAACTTTGTCCTATGACTGCAACTGGTCTACTCTGTGACCCAAAATAGAAACCAGACCACTTCCAATAACATGTGCTTATTTTTCATAGTACCAAGCAGAAAAAATGCAAGCTTTGTAAATATATATATAGAAAAACAAACATTATAATTATTGTAAGGGGAGACCTGGATTCATACAATCAATACTAAGACATTGAAAAAACTCTCTTTAACCTAAATTAAGGGGAGAGGAAAAAACAATCCTTGTACAGTGAAAATCCAGAACTGATTACACTACTGGAACAGAATTTCCAAATGCTCTTTTATCCTAATTCATCTTTTCAAGAACACATCATTTATTGAAAAATTTACAGGATAAACTATTGAACAAGTCTGGCTGATAAAGCCAGTCCCTTATTTTTATGGTGCTTTGTGGGAAATCTCATATTTCTAACCATGCAGTGTTTTAGCAGCTTTGAAGAGATCATGGCAACAAAAATGATGCTTTAGTAAGGTGTGTGCAGACATTTGAAGAAGGATGTGCTTCCTCAGATTGGAAAAAGTTTGCATAGTAAGAACACACAGTATGCTGTCTCTGTCTCTCATTGCTCTTTTCAAATAAAACTGGACATTGAGTGAGTAAAGGCTGTTTCTCTAATGTAAGAGCTCTGTAAACATTTCAAGCAGTGGCAAGAGGGTTCCCACAAAGAAGAAGGATAAAACAGGGAACTTGTCTTATTTTTTTAGCTGGGATCTTGTTTTGGGCAAAGGGAGGAATTTTCATCTTTAACGATAAGACTCAGAGGAAAATAAAAGATAACTTCAGAAATAATGTGCAGAAAGAAGAAACAAGCAAGACACTCAGGAGTATGGGATTAATATCTTCCTCAGTGGCATATCTGAAAACCAAAAACTGTGATCTTGGAGTTGCAGCCCTTCTAAATGTAGGGGTTTTTGCTCACCCTTTTGTCTTTCATTCCCTGTAGGATCTTCCTTCACTTACTGAAAGAACTGGTCCTCTGTTCAGATATGGAGCCCATTCAACACAATTTTTCTCTTTTTATAGGATTTGAGTTCGAGTATCATGCATTTGACTTTTGATCATTTACTGCATTTAAATTTCTAATTCTCCTTTTAATAACTTCTGTTTCCTCAGTTTCTGAAAGCCTCTCCTTAAAATTGAAATCTCTAATAAATATTGTTTTCCTCATTCTTAATTTAATTTGTATATTTGTAGGCACTCCAAATCTGGGTTCTATGCCTTGTCATTCTTTGCAATCGTTCAATTTACAAAGTCACTACTAAAATAGCAGAACATGTGGTTGGTTCTGTGTTTCTTTCTTGGAACTATGGGTAAAGGAACATGCAATCATAGTGAGCAGCATTCCTTCTCCAATCTACAACTGCAGTGTTCCATAAAAACATAAATTTCAGTAGAAATAACCTAATATAGAGAATCTGGTGTTCTGAATTAAAATCAAGTTTTTTATATTATTATTTTAGGAACCCCTTTAGGTATAACCTGCTTAAAGTAGAAACAGCAGAAATGGCATGATTGTAATAAATAGTCTAACATGCCAGATCACACATCTGAGAGATAATCTCAATAATTTCTGCTATGACTTGACAACCATTCAGCTGCAAATAAGAGAGGAGGAGAAAAAACTGGGTAAATTAGTCATCAGAAGGTTATGAAAAACTACCAGTAACAGAAAGATGATGGCAACTTTAGGATGTTCCAGGGAGACAATTTCTAGTAGGGATAGAGCAGGTCAAATGAATGCCTTCAAAAGAAAAGATTGCTGCGACTGAAGACCAAGAAAAAAACCTGTTAAATAGCTCATCATGTCATCGCTAGGATGTTTGAACAGCCAAGGCTGTTAAAATACCAGGTACATCCCATTCACAATGATTACTGGAAAAGTGTTCTATTAAATCTTGCAAGCAAGCAGGTGGCAATTCTACTCTGGCACAGAAATATCAGATAACTCATAGTATCTGTAGTGTTGGATTATGAGTCTTGTTTTCTAATCTAAAAACATCAGGCTGCCAACTGAAACATTGGTTGGTCAATTTGAAGCCCTGAGACAAGGCTTACCAGGGCCCAATCAAGATGATCAGTCAGAGTATGAACTTCAAGATCAGGAGCAAAGGGATCACTTTAATAGATACCCTAATGTCCCTCTCTCTTTGACAGAACTAGCTTCTGAAAGGAGCAACCAAGGGCCATTTTCAGAACCCAAAAGAACCTGAACAGCAGCATCAACTTCAACCTTGTAAAGTTAAATCTTTGACGCCATTCTTGATACCTCAAAACACAGACCTTATTTGATAATACATATTTTGGACATCGAAAGTGACCCAAAAGTAAATACATCCTCTTTCAAAGCTTTCACCACATTGTTTCATTTTACTTTAGAACATATTTCAACATATTTAATAACATTCCTAGACTAATCTCATGACATCATAGAATCATTGAATCATGGAAAGCTTTGGGGTTCCAACCCCACTGCCATGGGCAGGGACACCTTCCACTAGACCAGAGTGCTCAGAACCAGTCCAACCCGGCCTTGAAAACTTCAGGCCAGGGAGTATCCACAACTTCTCAGGGCAACCTTTTCCAAGATGAGATGATTTTCTTTTCCATAATAGTGCAGGCCTCAGGAGGCTGAGGGCTATGTCAAAGTTCAAGTGACAGGTTGTGCTTTGGGGGTGACAAAGCACAGAACTCTCTGACTCTGAGTGGTAATTGCTCCCTCAAGCGGTTTCTTGGGTTGGCAGAACTGGTCACTTGCATACTCAGCATGAAAGTTAGCTGCTATCAGAGAGTTAATAAGAAAAAAAGGGGAACAACTTGTGTTTGGGTTTGTTTTGTTTTTTTTTCTTTTTGCTTTAATTCAATTTCATCAAGAATAGCTACACTGCAGCTATAAAATTTGACAGGTAGTTTCCTTTCACACAGTACTTTCTATTAGCAGGTAAAACAAATGTTTATTGTACTAAATACAACATGTTTGACTAAGTGTAGAGAACACAGGAACCAACATGTTGGTTTCAGTTTGTTTTGGATATCACTGGAAAGTCTGATCCTTTCGCAACTCTATCGAGGCACCATAAATTTCTCATTAATCATTATGTTTCAATGGGGAACACTGAAGGGTGTTTTCTCAGATTATAATGAAGTGAGAGGCTAACGTCATGGTCTGTTTATCTTTGTACTTAACATAGTATAATTATTTTGGGATTTTTTTTCATTCAGCTAGGACTTGCACCTTGACTTTTGTAAACATAGGCAGTTCAGTTTTCGTTGTTAAGGATGTTGACTTAACAGAGTATAAAATAGAAATCTGGGTACATTAGAGCAGCACATTTGAAGTCCAACTTTCTTTTCTCCTGCTGGTTATATTCAGAGGACCAATTATTCAACTGGCCACTTGCAGTAAAATATCAGAACACTTAAAATAAATGCCGGGTTTCAGGCCGCCATAATGAATGAAGACTCTTCTGAAAGCAATGAAGGAAGTCTAGACATCTGTACAGTAGGAGAAGAAGAACGAAAACTGGCTCAAGGGATTCAACCCCAAATTCCCAGCTCTCATATACATGCCAAAAAGGGTCTTCCTGTGACTGTGGATGAAGGAAGATTTCTGGATAAACCACCTCTATCATACATAGCTTTGATTGCAAAGGCGATACTTTCTTCCCCCACAAATAAACTGAATTTGGCTGCTATCTACAAATATATTGAAGATAATTTTCCTTTTTACAGGAACAAAGGTCGAGGTTGGAGGAACAGTGTAAGGCACAACCTTTCACTAAATGACTGTTTCATCAAGGTGGGAAGATGTGAGGATGGCAAAGGAAACTACTGGAGTATTCACCCATCAAACTTAAAAGACTTTGTCCACGGGGACTTCAGGCAACATCGAAGGTCACGAAAGCGAGGGCACCAAATGGAGGTAGAGCACTGCCTTGCTGGGAATTATTTCACACCATGGGGACACTATCCTTCCTGCCCAGCACCAAATATGCTTTACCAAACACATTATTTTCTGGATCCGCTGTGGAAACTTCTGTATGCTGACAGACTGCAGTTTGTGCATGAATACCAAAAGTGGAATGTAAACAGTCACTTAATCATGGGGAAGTTTTCACCTCAATTACAGACTGATAAACCCCACAGCACTTCTGGGGACTGGTTTTATGGATCTCCTGCCACTTCAGTTATGCAGCAGAATATTTTCCTAAATATTCAGCCAGGTTTACCTAACTCCCTTTTATTCTTTTCTCAAAAACAACACCAAAGTGAAGCATTCAGACACATCTGTAAGTACTAGAAAGTATTTGAAGTGCTTGAATAACTTCACAGGCAGCTTGGGACTCTGTCAAGATATAATATATATGTTGTGCAATTTTTAAATTTTGTATATGTTTAAAGACAGCAGAAAAGCTTGATTACTTATATAGGCCACTGATTATCCATGATTATTACCTAAGTGTATTGGCTTTGAAACCACAACAATGAATTTTTATTAATTCTGCTGGTCAATGGCCAGGCATAGATTACTTCAGTATAAAAGTAAATCCATTCACAATGATTGCCTAATGAAATTATTTTTAAATTGTTCTGTATTAATCATATTACTGTATACTACTGCTCTATTGGATTCAAATTAATACACATGTATGTGTATTTATAACTATATATTCAAATATGTACAACCATATATTTACTGTTACATTATATTGAATAGGAAGGATTATTAATTTTTTACTTTTTCATTTAAGAATGTCTTTGAAATTATACTTGTCACCTCCCATACTGCTGGCAATACTGAATTATTCTTCTACTCATTTAATATGATACATTGGTTAGTACTCAATCAACACTATTAATTCTGATGAATTGTATTGATCAAAAAAATCTCTGTACATTTATGTATCTTTAATTGTTAAATTGTATACTTGTTCTTGTTTGAATAATTGTGCATATTAATAAATATTCCAGGTGAAATAGAACTGTAATATTTTCTAAAATATGTTTTTAAGTTCAAATCTGCTTTTTAAATGCACGGCCACATATTAATTAACATACTTAAATGATTATTTAATGGCAACATGGCTAATCATGAGTTTATCCATTAGCTGGGTATCGTCCATTTAAGAAATTTTCATTTTTCAGATATTTTCACCTATTTCTTAGGCTTATATCTATATTTTTAGTTTACCTAGTAACACTTATGTACATAGGTACAGAGCGTATGATGTTATAAAGTGCTCACTTAAATACATTTTTAAAATGTATGCATCTATCCAGCAACCTCATGGCAGCAGAAACTTATCAAGTTTCACATAGGGAAGTGTAACAAACATTATTGTGAAAAAAACCCAGCTATGCTAAATTATAATACTAGAAGAACTTCCTTTGACACACTTGCTCACAGAAAATGAAGATGAAGGCACTGGAGGGCCTCAGTCATGAAGTACCCTTGCATGTGGACAAAATCTGAGAACTGGACAAAGGTGGGATGGAGGTGGGATGGGGAGACTGGCTAGAGGAAACAGAGATAACTGGAGCTGGGACAAAGAGCATAGACATTTTGATCAAGGAGCTGTGAGAAGCCCAAGGAACACAAATTGTGAATGCCAGGCAATTATAACCAGATGACAATGAAAGCTAGAGATAAGATTCAGGGAAGGTTTGATGAGTAGTAGGTGGGGAAAGTCTCTGCCTGCTATAGTTTATGTATTGGATAAAATCTAATATTCATAGTTCTTTAGCTGTCACCAAATTACTTTAAAATTTAATGCAAGAACATGATGCTCCTGTTTTTTCTCACTGGGCTTACTTGGCAAAAGCTTGTGAAGCACACCTGAGGATATTCCCAGAATGACACACTGTCATTCAACATCTTCCCTGCTAAGTAAGAGCTGGAGAAGGGTATTATAGTGTACAAGATGACACACTGCTTTAGCTATTGTGACCTATCACTTACTAGGTTTTCCTTTATTCCTGAAGTAACCATTTTAGTTTGCTCGGGAAAAGGAATTGTATTTTACCAGATTAGCGGTGTTGGTGGAAATGTGGCATGCACCAGTTCTTACTTATGCTTCCAGATCTTTGTCCCAGTTTCCTGTGGGAATGCAATAACAGTAAATCATATGAAGGAGACATTCTTCTGCTGAGATGCTCAGATTTTATTTGAAGACCACTTTGAAATAGTTTTCATACCACTAGTGATACACATACCACAGCATGAAAACTCCCATCTTAGATATTTCCACTATGATTATGTAGCTGTCCATATGCTTTCTTATGTTTTATGTTTTATTCAATGTGTTTTAGCTTTCTGTTTGTTTGTACAGCAACCGCATGCCACATAGGAGGAGGATTCTTTTCAAGTAATAAGCAACTATTTATTTTATCCTCATCAGTCAGTGGGTATCCATTGCTTTCTAACTGTGCATAGTTCAAACCCTGCTCTGAAGACAAAATTACCCAATCTCTATTATATTATTGTCCTTTGAAGCCATAATATAATTTATTTCCAAAATAACCTGAGAGATGAGGAACATATTGAAGCACAGAACTACAAGTCAGAGGTCAACTGTACACATTCACTTTGGACACAGGTTTGTGACACCACTGTGTAGCACTTTTTGTTCTCAAAGCCCAGCAGCTGAGCTCCCCTTGCCCTGGCTTTCCACTCTGAGTGTTCAGAATCCTCCCACGACACAAAGCAACATAGAAACAAGTGACCATCTTGATAAGTTCAATTTCGACAGCCGATGAAAGAGGCAAATCTGTATCTCCAAGGCAAGCTGCAACTGCCATAAAATAGAAATCACTCTTTCTTCCTATAAACTCCAATAGAATTTGAAGTTATTTTACAAAAAATATCGATAATTTCCTCATTGCATTATTTTAATTGATATAGAAAAAAGGTCCACCTTGGACCTTTGAAATATGAAATATGACAAAACACCAGATTTTTTCATACAACTACAGGAAATATTTTAATGCCTTCAGCTGAGGTAAGGGCCAAGTTATGAATACATTATTTAGACAACATGCCAGTTTTCCCCTGCCCTAGTGTCTGAAAGCTTTACAGCTTTACATTGCAATCTTAATACTTTTTTTTTTAATTTCAGCTGAAGGAGTAGGATTAGTATGTAATTTTGTGATGAAAATGTCAAAGTAATAATTTGAAAACAACTTGAAGTAAAAATTTCAAAGAAATAAGAAAAGAAAATCAAGTTGTGTATTTTACCTGAATCTAAACCCCCAAATACACTTAGCATAGAAAAAGAAATAATTTTCTGATCTTGAAAAATAATCCTCCAATTAGAAAGGACATTGGATTTCTGATACAGGAAATTAACATTTAATGAGAAGACAGAAATGTTCTTGAAAATTAAACAGATTAATTACATGCTTGTACAGGAATTTATGAGGCAGTACTTATGGTGTAAGAGACTCCCTAAGAAGCAAAACCAACAGTTACAGCTGCTGAATTACAGAAAATCCAACAAGAACACAATATCTAAAGACTGCATGTTGACAAGTTCAGTATTTTCCAGCTGAAATGTATTACTGGGGTTGATAACAATGTCAGGAAGACAGAATTTTAGCATTTTGACTATAATCCTCTGTTATACCCATACATAAAATAGAGGTCATCTTTTTACAGCAGATCTACTTTAGGAGTCCACAGATGCAATGCCAGTGTATGACATAAATAGCTGGGATGGAGGTCAAATATGCTCTCAGAAATAAAAACTGTCAATTGCTTTCATCTTCTTTTTGCACTAAATAAAATTTTGAACATTTGCTAACACTTTAAATAAACTATGTCTTAATGAGGAGCACTAAGAGAATTGGACCTGAACATGAGAACCTTTAATTTGGGTAACAATACACAGGTAACAGTGTAGCCAGATAATAACACTAACTTTGCAGTTGGCCTTCACCAGATTATACAAATATTTATTCTAAAACTTAAGTTTTAAGATAGCTCTGATTGATAAGCACAGAATGTTAGTACACAGTCAAATTTCTGATACATTTGCTGCCCAGCAAGACTTCTGACTCTGAGACTTGTCCTCTTTCATATTGAAAATAGCCACTGTCCAGGGGCACAAATGAAACCTTTGTAGAAAGGGAGGCCTACAAGCCCTTTAGCCACTCACTTATGCACACTGACTTATGCTCACCCAACAGTTATCCATGGCTTGTGCCCCCTGAATAGGCTATAGAAGCTGACCTTTGGAGGCAGTAGAACAGAAATGCTTCATCCACTGTGCTGAGGCTCATGTACATGGATACATAAAGAATTTGTCAGGTTTGGCCTGTAGTGACACCATGAGGGAAAAAAAGAAAAAAGGGAAACATTCAAAGCTTCTTTGAGAGATGGTCTAATCGGAAATGAGGTTATGAAAATGAAAGTCACACCAAAATGATTTGGGATCAATAAAGGACATAGATATGGCTTATTGATTTAAGTGTGCCCTCCTGTAGCTAATTCTTTTAATTTCTTGGAAGTGTAATTTTAATTAGGATCTTCCAAGGTTGGTATAATCTGACATGTGTATGTTAAAAATATGGAAAAAAAAAGTTAAAAAGTGTTCGTTATTTATATTACACATGAAATAGCAATAATCACTTACAAATTTAATTATTTCTGTGTAATGACAAATGGACCATGCAGACATGAGTCAAACTACACAATTTTTGTACCATAGACCAACTTTGAACCTTTTTGCCAATACTGACTCCTGACCAGGTGCATCCCATCATGTGAGAAATGTCCTCGGAGAGGCTACTGAAATGGTTGAAAGCCACCTCAGAAGCCATGGACCACCTTGCCCCTGTGATATTTTGGCATAGATTATGTGACTAAAAAAAGTTGGAGGTCAGACTCTCCTGAGGCCTTTAAAACTCTTTTAGTCTGTATTTACA